CCTTCCAAGCTCTGGTCCAGTCTGAATATGACAGAGAAACAGGATTCCAGTTGAATTTCTAGTAGTATATATTGCCATTTTGGGGGAAGTTTATTTTTATGCATCTTATTTTTTTTGCAGATTGTGTTTTAGTTTGCTGTCTCGATGCTTCATATCATCTCATTTGACTCCAAGTATTTTGCTCCATCTCTTTTGGTCTGCCCTTCAGTGTATTTTATTTTACTATGTTCTGTTTTGCTTTTTGTGTCAATTATGACCCCCCTCGAGATGTTTTTTTTATTTTTTATCGTGTTTTATTTAACTACAGGAGTCAGAAAGAAGCAATGCAGAAGTCAGAGTGTTATGGAGGTGTACAGATGAGAAACAGAGTAACAGGTAGAGACTTGCTTTTTATTTATTTATTTTTTTATTTTAAGAAGAGAGACTTGCTTTTTAAATGAAGAGGTGAATTTTATAAATGACTTGCTCTGTAATACAGATGGTTGGGGAGTGAACTTTATGTTTTCACCTTTCTGTTGCTGTGTTTTTCCCAGGTAACTATGATCAAAAGACATCATCAAGCATACAAATAAAACATCAGGCTGCAGTTCAGCGAAGCAAATCTTCATTGTCAACTAGTTCTCCAGAGTCTGCAAGAAAACTTCATCCTCGACCAAGTGATAAACTTAACCCTAAAACCATTAACCCGGTAGGTACAAAAAAAGATTTCTAATTCATTAGATTTTCTCAAAGTAATAGGCATTTAGCACACTGTTGAATATTCTGAATGCTGCTTGTGATGAAGGAAGGGCAGTATGGGGATCATGGTATAGGTGGTGATGACTAATATGTACATGGCAATGGGTGTTAAAGTGAGAAGCTGGAAAAGACACATGGAAACAATTAGTCCAAGGAACTGGTAAACCATGCAGTGCTCAGCCTATATGACCAGGAGACCAGAAGGACTAGATGGTGCCCTGCTACCACTGTGCAAAAACGACAAGGAGGCCACATTTCCCGACCTCCTCTAACCCCACAAGAGGAAGACAGGATCACCATCAGCAGCCCAAGGCCTATCCCTATGAGGCCAGACATGCTGCCTCCCTTCAACCCTTTCACCAACCCTGACACCAACCGTTCCTCCTGCAGCACTCACCACCTCTCTGCTGGGTCTGATAATTCACTGCAGTGGCCACACAGAACTCAAAAATGGCGGGGTTTATTAGGGAAGCACCAGGCTACAATTCAAGTTCAGGGAAAATGCCCAGTCTCTCTCCCAGCCCACAATCTCTCTCCTAACAGTCTCTCACAGTCTCTCTCCCAATAGTGCATGTCCCTTGGTGTCTCACTCAGCAATGTGTGTCTCTTTCAGCAGTAAGTCTTCCTCAACCAGCAGTCAGAGAGAGACTTCTTTTGCCTCTAGGAGGCCTCCTGTTGAGCCTGGCAGAGTGGCCAAACTAACCAAACATAACATCAGAATTCTGAGCATCTGAGAGAGAGCAGGAACCCGCTCCCAGAACATTGCTTTGTGTTGCACCCAACAGAAATACCTCAGGTGGATAACTTTTGCAGTCAGGAGCTCCTCAGTTGCTCACAGCAAATTCCACCACAGAGTTTACAAAGACTTATGGCTAGAAAAGCCACA